GCTTTGGCACAGGCTGTTTCCTGAGCCTGCATGCTCCTGGTTCCTCCACCCCCACCATACTGAGCCATGCTTGGCCACCATCTGCAGGTCCTTCAGCCTGGGAGGCACTTCCTCTCAGAACTTTTTCTCATCTTTCCAACCACCTTCTCTGGGCTGCCATAGGATCTTCTTCTTTATCTACTTATTACCCTTCAAGGCAACTGTCTCTTCTCCTCTGTAGTTCCCTCTTTCCCAAGCTCCTTTGAGTTTGGAGACATCTAGAGCACCTACTAAGCTCTAAAATGCAAAGCCCAAGCAGTACAATGGTGAACAGGACAGACCAGGCCTCTGCCTTTTATGTTTTTTGAGTGGTGTTGTAACTGTGTCCTGTCCTACAGGGCCAGGAGACCCTTCAGAGCAGGGTCTGGACTGTTTAGCACTTAGTAGGTACCAAGAAACATTTTCTTAATGAGCAAGTGCTCAAAAGGACATATGACAATGAAGACTGAGGCATAACTGACTTCATGTTTACTCCCCAGCCACATTTAGCCTCTTAGGGGAACGCAAATGCTCCCAGTCGGCTTTCTGGAAAGAGTCCCTGAGGAGGAAGGGGAGTATTGACCCACCCAAGCTCCCCAACCCCGGAGCAGCAGTTGTCAGTATGGAGCACTCACGGTTTGCCCACCCCTAAGCACTGGATGGTTCCAACTCTGAAAACTTTAGCTCCAGTTCTCGCCTATCCTGAACCTTTGGAAACAGGGTCTTGTTAGCCAGCCTCTACCTTGCTCCTAGACCGTGGAGGAAGAAACAGGTTCACTAACTTCCTCATCATTGGAGCCAGGAGCCAGAGGGCCTAAGGAGGCACATGGGACAAAGAATATACTTTAGACTCAGGCAGAGTGGGGCTGGAATCCAAGCCAGACCCAGCGTTTACTGGCTACCGGGACTTTGGGTAAGGCCTTTCACCTCTAAATGCCTCAGTTTCCACATCTGTAAATGGCAGTTGCAGTGTATTATTTTGCAGGGGAAGGAAGTTGAGGTTTAAAAATGAATCCTTCCCACAAATGGCCATCTGCTCCTTTCCCAACTTGCAGCGGGAGTGCCCCCTAGTGGTAGATACACATCCTGCTCATGCTCACGCTCATGGTAAGACTGCAATGCTTAGTGTGGAACATTCTAGGATTCCTATTGCAGTTTTTGGAAAACACCTCATTCGCTGTCAGTCCTGGGGGTACAGCCCTCATTCAGCCTTCTCCTAATGACCATTCCAGCTTCCGCTCTGGTCTCCTGCTACATACAGGTCTACCCCTTTCCATCCTGTTGAGCCCAAAGCACAGGGGGCATTTTCCACCAGCCCCCAAACCCTTACCTCTCTTTGGCAGGGTGCTGGGGTGACTGGGAGTGATGGCATGAGTAACTAACTACCAGAATCCCTGTTGCTGGTTGGAACTTGGCATGTAGCACATTCAGACTGACACAGCTGCAAGCTCTTTTAGCTTGGGCCCTGTATTTTTTTTTTAATCTTCACCCAGGATATGCTTATTGATGTGACGGGGACGGAGGAGAGAGAAATGTCAGTTGGTTGCCTGCCGCAGTACCCCAACGTGCCCCACCTGGAAATCGAACCCACAACCTAGGTATGTGCCCTTACTGGGGGGTCACACCTGCAACCTTTTGATGTACAGGATGACACTCCTACCAACTGAGCCACCAGTCAGGGTTGGGCCCGTAGTTTCAAGTGAGGAACTGAATGAAGGCTCACAGAAGGAAAAGTGACTCAGAAAGGTTACATACCGGCCAGTAGCCAGGCTGGGGCTAGAACAGGTGTTTGGATTGAGGTCTCCCTCCCAACTCCACTCTTGCGTTCTCAGGGCTGGGGTGGGGGTGGTGCCATAACAAACACACATACACACATACTCTCTCTCTCCAAACCCCTCCTTGCCTGGGGTCAAGCCCCTTTATCGGAGTAACTTTCAAAGTCATTTTCTTTTCCCTATATGCCCTCCCCAGCACTGCTGAGACAAGTTGTAAAGTACATGGTCAGAGATCACGAAGCTGACCTAATTGGCTCTGGGAAGTACTTCTACACTTCCTGTAGTCTTGGTGGTTTTCCTGCAGAGCAACTGTTGGGCTGGACAAAGCTTAAGAGGGCTGGTAACTTGACTCCCTTTTCAAACTGTCAACACAGTGGTATCACCAGCCTCATTAAAATTGATGTCAGCACAACCTGACAGGGCTGCAGAGAGGAGAAGGTCATAGCCTGAGGGCAGAACCTTTGTGCTTCTCTCACCTTTCTCTGGCGGCAGGGTAGTGTACCCCAAAGAGAAGTGCCAGGGGTGCAAAGGACTGACCCTGCTCTAACTCTCTTCATGTGGGATGGAGGAGTCCTGCTGATGGGGTGGGGGACCAGCACCTTCCATGAGATGGCCTGTCTGTATTTGTACAAGTGTCAGTCACTTTTCAGGTCCTGGATTCCTGTAGCAGGAGTGAATTCAGGGTAAAGGCACAATGTTGAAAACAGCTCATCTCTCTCTTGTGCCTGTTTCCTAATCTCCACAATGAGTGATGATTCCAGCTCTTTCACTATTAAAGGAAAATGATTCCAATGCAATCATGGTTTCCAGCGTATCACCCAGGGACAGGGCCACTGCTCTGGCTGGAGGGCGCACGCATGTGTGAAAGAGATGCCTCTACTACCCAGTGGGGACTAGTCATCCAGCCCATCTCAGCTCCCACTCAGCTCATTTGTAACTCAAAACCTGGCTGTGAAAGCTGCAGGCAAACCCATTCAAAGAGCTCCTTCACATGGGAGGCAGCTCCAGAAATGTCTGCCTGTGAGTGTATCACCAACACACTTGCTTCTTCGAGAAAATGAAAATTGTCTTTGGTTAAGAACAGTGGAGCCTCAGAGGCCTCCCACAGGTCAGAATGTCATAGGCTTCTGGATAACCCAATTTAAAAAAAACGGTAGAAATGAAAACCTGGCTTGGTAATTCCCTAGACATACGCACTCACCACATATAGTAGGCCAAGTTGACATTTTATGAAGTGAATGCACAGAGTTTGACTTTCAAGGCCCTCTAGGGAAAGGTCCCAAATTACTGGTCCAGTCTCATTGGCCATTCCTCTTCTTATTCCTTCTCATTCACTAGTCAGACTTCCCCTATTTGAATCTAAATGTACTCAACAATCCCTACCCTCTACTCATCATGCTGTATTCTCTATTCCTATTTCTAAGCCCTATGCATATTTGCTTATATGGCTCAAATACTTTCCTTTCCAGGAAACTTCAGCAATCCTGCTCATTGGATGCCACCTTTCCGGCCTCTGAATTATCCTAACACTTACTTACTTACTCTTGGTCCTAGTAAATATCACTCTATGTCTTCACTTCCCTGCTCTGAGTACCCAAAGGGCTGGCTTGTCCCTCCCTCTTGCCCAGCCATGAGGCTGGCATATCCTGGGTGCTTGGTAGATATTGGAAAGTTCTGTAAACTTGGAAAAGCAGGAAAAATAATCACTCAAAGTTACTGTTTCACATTTGACAGCTGCAAAGCCTAAGTGTAAACACTTAGTGTAGACACTTAGGCTACAGAAGAAAATGCTTTGTAATGTATTGAGAATTTGCCAAATGGCAGGTAAGTCCTGTAACTGGAGAAAATTAGTATCTGCTAAACCAGAAATCCAATTTTCTTGAATTTCCTTTGCAAAAAGCAAACTCCATTTTAGACTAGAGATTTCACTTTTAAAACACACGATTTGGGGGTTCCAATAACAGTACATAACCTTTTCTAGATACAAATTCAAATTAGATTCCAATTTTTAATATTGCATTTACATGCATAAAATCCCCTCATTCAAACAGTTTATAGCTAAGACTTACTAAAGCAATCCTCAAATCTTTCATTACAAAAACATTTGACAATGCAGTCACACATCTATTAAATGGGTGAGTCATTAAATGCAAACTGTAGAATATCTTACCCCTCCCTGAAAACCCTTTAAGACCTATAAGAATAGAGAAAATTTCCATCTTTTGGAAAAGCCGAGTTGACCTCAGGCTGTGCCTACCAGCTCTTCCGATAGGCTTTTCACATGTCAGTCCTCCTTAGCACGCCTGTCTTGGTAACAAACCATACTCTCTGTTCACCTGTCAGTCAAACCCTACATGATTCAGCCATGGTGCAAAGCCCATTTTTCCCTTCAGACCTTCCTGGCAGTGAGGGTCACTGACCATCAGTGCTGCAAGGCTTCAAAAGCCATTTGGCCACCCCCACCCCCAACTTTATAGACTGGGAGGTGACCTAGAGGTCAACACAAAGTCACCCAGGAAATCAGTGGCAGAGCCAGAACTAGAATTCAGATCTCCCGGGACTTGGGGTGAGGCCTTTTCCTTTATTACAGTATCTACTTTTCCTTAATTCAACTATTATTTGAATCTAACATCACTCTGACTTGCTTTCAGGGGCTCTAGAGCACTGAATTTCAAACATTATTGTTAAAAAGTCTACTTCAGCCCTGGCTGGCGTAGCTCAGTGGATTGAGTGCGGGCTGCGAACCAAAGCATCGCAGGTTCGATTCCCAGTCAGGGCACATGCCTGGGTTGCAGGCCACGGCCCCCAGCAACCACACATTGATCTCTCTTTCTCTCTCTCTCTCTCCCCCCACTCTAAAAATAAATAAATAAGAAATCTTAAAAAGGTCTACTTCATTTACTCCCGCAGTCATCAAGAATGAAATTGGATGTAAATGCTTTGGATTCTACACACTTGTGCACTGCCCCCCTCAATAAACACTAACATAAAAACGCCAAAGAAACCAGCTCTTTAGTGTGTGTTAACATGAGCTTACAATTGAAGTCCAATTTAAAAATGTAAGCATACAACTAGGCTTTACCAAAGAGGAACATGTTTATTTCACTTAAATTCTTAAAAATACTTTTTGGCAGTTGTCACATAAAATGTCCTAATGTAAAAAGACTTCAATAAAAAGAAAAGAAAAGCATGAAAAAAACAGACCCAAAATGTTAAGATTTTATTTACAAAGCTTCTTTGTTGTACAGAAAGTAGAAATGCTGTTACAATCTTGGTGTAAGTGGTAGCCACAGACGGCTGACTCGCCAATCACAGCTATCCACGCTACAGCAAGAGTCTTACATGGAAACCTAACAACGCTTACAATTTTGCTGGGGTGCAGTCCCCAAGCTTGGTGGTGAATTTCCAAAAGGGACTAAATGGAGGAAGGCGGAATGTCACAGGAACTATTCTTTGGCTCTTTGGGTGGGTGGGTGTCCAGGGGTTTGTATCACAGCTACCTTTTTTTTTTTTTTTTAAACAGCTACCAAATCCATACGAGCAGTCCAACCAATACTGAACAGTTCTTTTTTTGCAGGTTATTTAGCATCTTAATCATCTTCTCCTTCATCGTCTGTTTCTCTCTTCCTCTTTTCACCTTTCCCGCTTTCTTCCTCCTCTGCATAATAACAAAAATTCACTTTGAGACAATTGAAAAGGCATGCTGCCTAGGCTATTGCTAATGGAGGTAAAGACAATGGACTTTTTTGATGGTTGAGAGATTAAAAAAAAAAAGATGTCAGCTTGATCTGACAGACAGGTTGTTCATTAAGAGGTACTAATTTTAAAAAGCATAAATAGTGACCACAGAACTAAGAAGGGCAAAATGCACAGTAGCATCTCAAATCACAGAAAAGTTCAACCAGTTTTTCCAATTTACGTTGCAGTCTTCCCAGTGTTTCTTACACTTGCTGGTCCAAGGAAACATTAGCAGTTATTAAAATGCACAGCAAGGACCTTGGAGTTAGGCTGTTTTTTGACCCATGCCATTAACAAATGACCTTGGGCAGGTGCTCAACCTCTTCCCTTGAAGCCTGTTTCCTTGTTCTAAAATGGAAATAATGGTACTGACTTACAGTGTTATTCTGAGGATTAAGTGAGATAATACAATGTATGTAGGTTTAAGCATGGCAAGACTCAAACTGGAGCCAAGTCAACATTGACTAAAAAAAGATTAGTTAGACCCCTAAGGTATTTTGGACACAGAGGCCTACATATCATTGTTTTGTCAACTAATAACAATTAATGGCTATTTCAATTAAACTGACTAAATCCTTGTCAAATTATGTCCCAAAAAGCTGCGTGAGGGCAGAAATCAGGTCTATCATCGTAAAGTTTGTCTAGTCCCTGGCACAGAGAACAGACGCTGAAAACGCTGGGACCGATGGAAAGCACAGTAAACAAGCTGATGCTCTGAAACCTGCACAAGCACGGGAATCCGTACTTTCAGGGAGTAACAAACAGGTGTTTCATGGGTTTTGGTTGGGGGCGGGGGGGAGGATTAACACTGATAAAATGGGAAGGTGCTATGCATATATCCTGTAAAAATTATAACCCAATTACGACTTTTTTAAAGGAAAGAATTCAAAACATAGAAACTTCAAGCCTGCCAATAACCTGGACGATAGGGTCTAAACACAGTCCAAGTGTGGGGGCTGGAAACTGGGCCTCCGTGCCCCAGACAGGCATGCCCAGTCGCCCAGTCGCTCCCAGGTGGGCGGCACGAGCACGGACACACCGACAGGGCTGTCTGTCCATACAAAGAGCCTGTGAGACCACCAAGGCAAAGGGCATTTTATTTTCTCTGTGGTTCCAAATTCTAAACTAATGGACACCCACCCCCGACTGCGACTTTTATCTGAGGAAACAGGTACATGCATTAGACCCACCTTCATCTTCATCCTCATCCTCATCATCTTCATCTTCATCAACTTCTCCATCATGTCCAAATTCTTCTTCCTAAAGAATGGTAATGGCATATCATTATTAAGACTAATTCTGCCAAGTTGAGAAGTACAAAAACTAAATAATTCCCCAATAAATGTAACAATCCATCAAGGAGAAAACTTTAATGTTATTTTTACCTAGTTTGATGTACTGAAATGTTTTTCTTAATAAGCTTAATTTAAAATTTTCTTTGCAAATTGCTTTTCAGAAGCATTTTATTTTCCAGACATGTCTGATTAGTATACAACTTTAAATAAGTAATTCAAGAAATGACCTAAAAATCTTGAATTTCAAAGCAGGTTTGGACAAAGATTTCTACATTACCATTGTTATAAAAAGCTTCTCTCAGGAACTTAATTTCATTAAAGACCTATAAAAATTATACAAAGTGCTCAGAGCCTTATTTTTGTACTAAAAAATAACATGATTGTTGATGACATCTAAACTAATCCCTTGCCTGTTTTTACAAACCTCCTTGAGGGTCAAAGTCAACACTCCTTTCTCCTGTCCTTGTATGGCATTCAGCTCCTTCGAGATATTGTATTACTAGGCATCCCATTAAACTAAACTGCCTGCTCTTCCAGGGCAGGACCACACTCTTATTTAACACTGCACCCTCCACTCTCAGTTAGCATTCAGTAAGCATTCCATTTAGTATTTATTAAAAGGGGGTGGGAGTTACAAGAGCTAAATTAATCAGACTGATATTAGACTATTCACAAGTATACTAATTCTTCAGGAGGCCTTTCCCTTTTCTTTTCCCTTTCTTCTTTTTAACTAACTTTGATTAGGAAGCAGGGCAGCAGAGTAGCACTGACCTCTCCACTGACTTCATCTTCATCCTCTTCCCCTTCTACATCATCGTCTTCATCTTCATCCTCTTCGTCATCAAACTCTTCCTCCTCACCATCCTCATCCTCCTCGTCCTCCTCATCTTCTCCTTCTGAAAACAGCCCAAAAGGAATTCATAAATACCGCTGATGTCCCATGGGGTACCACGGGGTACCCCTGCTAAGGTGCTGGGGAACTGTGGGCTGGTCCACAGGACAGACACTGGGCTACGAATGTCAGGAGAAACCTCGAACCACAGTCACACTCTCTCCCAAGCCCCTGTGGCTCGGTCCTTCTGTCCAACAGAGTCCCACAAAATCCGGACACCAGGACTCCTGATAAACTGGATGTACACCGAAACACTCATTAAAGAAGTGAGACAAGGTCTGGCATTTGATTCCAAGGAAGGAAGGGGGTAGAGGGTAGGGTGTATATACAAAACAAGATCAGCCATAAACCAGTAATTGTTGAAGCTCTGTCATGGGAACATGAAAGTTTTGTTATTATTTCTACCTTTGTCCATGTCTAAAACTTTCCATAGTAAAAAGTCAGAAAAAATACAAACAAAACAAGAAAAATCCTTCTGGGGTAAAGGTACCACTACAAAGCTCCCCAACCGGGGAACTTGGGAGACCCCTCCGACGGGCGGGAGGGGCAGGCTGAGAGGCACCACCATCCCGCTGTGTCCCTGCCAGTTGGCGGAGGTCTCCAACCAGGCAGGTCCTGCCTCTCCAGTCCTGGAGCTTGCTGTGCTCTCTCCTGGCTCCTGAATGCTCTTCCCTTTCTGCTCTGGCTAATGACGACTCGACCTTTGAATCTAGGTAAAACTCACTTCCTCGAGCAGACACGCCAGACCTCCTAATCCCAGCGCACACTCTCGCACAAGCACCTGGTGCTTCTCCTTCACCACATACTCTGCTCACTTGTGATCAGTTAGTTGTGATTACTTAACATTCTCTTCTGAGTAGACAGTAAGCTCCTAGAGGACAGAACCATGTGCGTGTATGTGTTTTCTTCCCTTTCAAAACTGTTTTCCACAGTGTCTGGCACATAGGAAATGCTCAAATATTTGTTGCCCTGACTGATCTTCATCCTCCAAAGAATTTCCTTTATAGGCTCCTGGCACATGGGGCTGTTCAACCTGTTTTAAATGAATTCCAATAGACAACTAGAGGCACGAAGTGCTTTTAGGAATAACTGAGAACCTGTGGTGAGGGGAGCAAGTGACATAAATATTTGGAACCAGGCGAGATATCCTAATCTGTGTCCATGTTACCCTCTCACATCCCATCCTACCCCATCCCATCCTATCTTTTTGCCTTGTCTCCAATCTCCTGCAAAACTGTAAACATGCTTCCTGAGTTCTGCTACACCGATAACCACACCCAAGTTGTCCAATCCTTTTCCTCCTCTGCTTTTCTTGATCATTTGTCTTGCGTGTTTTTATCTCTAAAGAAAAGAGATATCTCAAATTATGCTTCAACGTAAAGTACAGCATAAGGAATATAGGCAATAATATGGTAATAACTATGTATGGTGATGGTAATAGACTTATGGTGAACAGACTCACTTTGTAAATTATATAAATGTCTAACCACTATGCTGTATACCTGAAATTAATATAATACTGAATGTCAACTTAACTGAAAAACAAAAATTAACTCAAAACAGATCATGGACATAAGTATAAGAGCTAAAACTATAAAACTCTTAGAAAATAAAACAATGCTTCAAATGCAGTAATACCACATTTCCAGCAACATCAGAAACTGTAGAACACATTTCCTTCATGCTGACCAATGTGAAAACCAATCACGCTGCTTCCTCTAAGCCGCTTGCAGGCGAGAAGTCATCTCTCCTGATACTGACTCACAGTAAATGCGTCACTGTGCAAGGAGAGCACAAGCTGATCCAAAGGATATTTTGAGCAGAAAATATTCAAAGATTCTTAAAAATAACTGAGTGTAAAAACCTTGATCAAATATCTATACTAAAAACTGTATTCTAATTCCATGTTACATCCAGATATTATTTTCCTTATTAATGAAAAATGAAATCCAACATGTAGTACTTTGAAATCATTACCTTCTTAAGCCACAGTCATATATTAAAAGCAGGAAAGCTATTTTATTTATTTGGAAATAACATGTATCAGGTACCCACTAGGTGCTGGGCCCTGTGAACACAGGAAAAAAGCCCCTCCCCAAGAAGACAATCTCAGCATAGCTGGAAGGGACAAGAATAGCAGAGAGTGACAAGTGCTATGAATGAGGCAGCAAGGGGGTGTTCTAGCACACTCACGAACCTAACCTCCGCAGGTGTCAGAAGTCTTCCTGAATTGTTGACAAAGGTGAGGCTGCAAGGATAAGGAAGCAGTAACCGAGACAAGGGAACAGCTAGGAGGAAGTCAGGGGACACGAAACCACCGTCCTTTCAGTGAACTATGAATCCCAAGTCCTTAATGAGTTGCAGCCATCTATGATCTCTAGGCTCGAAATTCAACACATTAGCTAACGAACCATTTTTATTTGGAATCACTTAAAGGCTTCAATATCCCAAGAGCTTATTCGAAATTAAAGCAGAGGTCCTAGCTCCAAATTTAATCAATGCCTACATGCATGGATAGGAATTATTTTTCTCAACAGCAATAACATTCAGTAGCTTTACCAGAACTCTTGGAAGGCAGAAATTAGGTTCACTAAAATTTACATCCAATCACCTTCATCATCTTCTTCTTCATCCACACCGTCCACTTCGGCATCTGAGTCAGGAGCTTCTCGATCCTCTCGGTCATAGCCATCCAGGTAGGTCAGCTGGGGCAAGAGCTTGAAGACGCTGTCTCGGTAGTCGTTCAGGTTAGTAACCTCACAGTTAAACAGATCCAGGCTTTTCAGACATTCCAACTTTTTCTGAAGAAAAGGGTCAAAAAACACACCACCTAAACCAAAGGAATGTAACAACAAAACCCTTCTCCTAGAGAGGTAAAATTCGAGGCTCATATTTAACTAGCTACTACCCACTCGGCCTCATACATAGGAAAACATTTCAAGTCCTTTGCAACCTTTATATTAGAGTCCACTCGATTTTTAACTAGTCCTTCCCTCCTGCATCTACTTTCCTCAAAGAACTGTCTTCTCCTGGCAGCATTAGTCTTCAGAAATACAAAGTTGGAAAAGTAGTTATTAAAACCGATCTTTTCACACTATGAAACAAATCAAAGAATTTAATAAATTTGTTTGAAAACTGAGTTTAAACATTTGAGTCATCAAGTGGCCAATAAGAACTGACTGGGTATTGAACATAGTCTTCAATGCTCTGGGGGAGTATAGGAAAAAAACAAAAACAAAGACTCAATCAATCAATCAATCAATCAATCAATCAACTCAATCTCACAGTGCCTGAGATTCCTATCTGGGGACACAGATGGGAAACACTGGAGGTTGGAATGTAAAAAAATCACACATTGTTGGGGTGCAGACATTTTCTGGGAAGACGGGAACCAATACAGGCTGGAGAAAAAGAAGGGAAACTCAGAGTTCAAATTCAGAAATAGAGCAACATTACGCTCTCTTCTTCTTTTATAATTTTTGGGGAAATAATCATTTACCAGACTTTTCCATGTAATGTTCTTCTGATGTTACCACACCTCGAAACTTGGTTGTAACACCTCATTTGTTGGGAGCCTCCACTTCACTTATCCATAATAGTCAGGGTATAAAAGCTTGGCCCAAGAAAAATCTTTCTGAGCAATCAAAGTAGATAGGAAAATTTCCAGGTATTCTACTCAGATCTCCATCTGTTAGGACACCAGTGTATTAGTACTTCAACCGCACATCTATTAAGCTTTGATTAAGAGTGAATTAAGAGCTTGGGAGGGCGGAGGTATCATCACAAGCAAGCGAGGAGAGCACAGCAGGAGTGACAGCAGACCCTCTCAGGGAGAGAGGGGAGGGTGAGAAAGCACAGGAAGCACACGCGAAGTGCTCTGCAGCCCGGTGTCTTTTAGAACAGGGGCGATGAGCCCGGGGGGTGCATATTACACAGCTTCATAAACGTAACTTTTAATCATTCTGAATCAAGAGAAAAGCTCAGTATTCTCTAAGAAAAAAAATACAAAAGTAGGAAGAGGCTCTCTGCATGAAGTTAAGTTGCAAAAAATCAATGTTGATGTTTAAAGGCTTTTATGTTTTATTGGGAAAGCTACTTCAACATTCACAAGGACCCGAGGAGGAATGCAGACTAAACAACACCTTGTCCTTCAGGACCTAGGACATCTCTGTATTTGTCTGCTGGCCCATTCTGGCCCACTGCCTGTTTTTGCAAAATAAGTTTCATTCAAACACAGCCACTCACTTGTTTATATGTTATGTATTGTTTCTTTTGTGCTACAGTGGGAAAGCTGAGTAACTCTGACAGAGACTGTATAGCTGACAAGGCCTAAATGATCTATTATTGTGCCCTTTGGAGGAAAGTGTTGCTGACCCCTGCACTTACAGAGTCGTCATCTTCCTGGTCAGACATGAAGTTCCCACACTTATTTTATTTTTCACTGAGCAGCCCCCTTGGGAACGTGGAGCAGAGTTACAGCAACAGGAAACCGTACTCCTCAAAACACCAGCGTTATGTAAGTCAGTCCCCCTGAGGTCTTCAGAAAGCCGTCCCCAGGCCTTCTCACCGCAGGGAGAGACGCTTTTACCTAGTGTCACTTTCAGAGTAGGTTCCCCAGTGGGCAGCCCTGACCTCCAGAAGCCCAGGTATGAATTCTCACCCAAGAGAAAAAAAATGCTGAAATACGACCCCGGACAACTAGCTGGCATACTGGGAACTCCCTTCTCTTCACAAAAAGACTGATTCTATACCAGCTAGGATATGAGCACAATTTAGATAGCTTTCCCAAAGAGGCGCAATCTAAAAATTCATTGCTCAAACTCACTCCCCAGAAAAGGATGCACAAAGAATGCACACAATCCCCGATTTTTAATGTTCCACAGTGCCCAAGCCCTTTCTCCAGTTCTCTCAACTATCCCATCATACAGGGCCTCCAAGGCTCTCCTGTTTTTGAAACTCTACGAATCTGTGATGTTTTTGACTACTTCTTAAAAAAGAAACCATTATAATTCGAACATGCCAAACAGTATGCTAGAAAACTAAGTGAAAACAAATAACAAAATCACATACAATTTTAGTACCCTAGAACTGTTTAAAGTAGTAACATTACACTTTAAGGCCCCAAATACACTACACACATCATTCAGGATCTCAATGTAATGTCTAAATACTGCTAAAAAGAAGATTCACAACTGTATCATATCATAAATTTGGCCTAAAACGAAAAGGCTAGCCATAATAAACATTAAACATTTTATTAACAATAATTTTGCTTGCCTTCTTAGAATTTAGAAGGGCTTTGGGGGATGGTTTGGATGGCCCAAGTCTCTTAAAAAAGGTGTCCAAGGAAGTTTGAATTGATGCCTTCTTTGTCTCTCGATTAATATCCCTGTAGCAAGCAGAGGCATTCACAATCATTGCAGTGACTGTAAGAACTGGGCTCAATGCAGACGGTGTTCAAAATGTATGTGGTTAATGAGGATGAGGATGGTGTTTTTCCCCACTGAAGAATACTTTCAGAATTCAAAATGGACCCAACACTTCCCCCCTCACCTTCTCCTACAATTTTATTTTATTCCATGTTCTAACTTCAGAGGACCCACTTAGCACCTCTTGGAATCTGAGCAGCAATTTCAGAGACGGGCAGGAGCTCAGGCTTTTGCAGAGAGTCCCAGGTGTGCAGGCCTGCAGCTTTCTCACTGGCTAGCCACGTGTGTGACTCTGGACAAGGGGTTCAACCTCTCCCAAGCCTCAGCTTCCTCGTGTGTAAAATAAGGGGCATGCTATTTCTATCTACTTTGCAGAAATCTTCCTTGAGGTTACCAATGAGAAAACATACATAAAGCATCCACTACAGTGTATGGCACACAGCAGATCCTCCAAAAAATGATAACTACAACAATAATTATTTCTCATTCTCCCCTGCCCCAGGGGACCGAGACTTTCACAGCCACCAAAGGGCCCTCATACATCACTGACCAGATCAGGAACACCCAAGCAAACAGCTCCCACACACAATGTTTGCCCCTGCTCTGCCTCTGCATGCTAGGGCACGGACAAAGGCTTCTGACAAAACATCAGAGAGGACTCGGGTTGCCATAAGAATTAGACAGCAGCCAGTGATCTAGCATAGAAAGGTACTATCTGGTACTCTGTTCCAGAAAAAAGGGGTTCCCATGCTCACAGTGACCCTAAATTGACAAGCCTGTCATTAACACAAACAATAAAGGCTCAGTGGAGTTATCTGACTGAGAGACCATCAGCACTTCATTTAGTGCTGCTGTTGGAATAGTTTAGGCCAACTTGGGTATGGAATAAATTTGCAGATAAAAAAAGAACAGGTCCCAAGAATAGTGCAAAGAACAGTACAGAGAATGGTGGACTTGGATTTGAGTCTCTGTTCCTCCATTTATCCTGTGACTGATGAGTATTTGTTTTCTAAACTTGGTTTTCTCTACAGTCACTCTTCTGTAGCTTATATGAGAATACAGTGGGCCAATGTTAATGTCCTCGAACACTGCAAATCTCAGTAAATGTTTATTTAAACACTGGAAATAGGGATTAGTTTGGAAGAAAAGAACTGGTAAAAATGAGGGAGTCAAGCCTTGAGCAGTGCGGCTCAGCTGGTTGGGTGCCCTCCCACAAAGCAGAAGGTCACCAGTCTGATTCCCGGTCAGAGCACATGCCTGGGCTGCAGGTCTGGTCCCCAGCCAGAGTGAGTTTGGGAGGCAACTGATCGATGTGTCTCTCACACATTGATGTTTTTCTCCCTCTCTCTTCTTCCCTTCCCCTCTCTCTAAAAATAAATAAATAAATAAATAAATAAATAAATAAGATCTTTAAAAGGGGGGAGGGGTCTTAAGTATCTGGGTATGCCTGTCTACAGCAGAAAAACAGGGGTAAAACTGATGGAGCAAAGGCGAGAAAAGGTTCCCAAGATTTATGAGAAATATGAACTAAATACAGTCCACTTCATGAAACATACACACAAAGTGGCTCAGTAAAGGATGATTACATCTACGCTGGAGTATCACCTCAGTCATTAAGAGGGAAAAGACCCTATGATTCTAACGGGAAATCCTCCTCATTGAAAGAAATCATAACTCTATCTTCCCTTGAAACACTAACAGAACATTCTGTAAAACTGATGTGAAATCCAGTTATAAATATGGTGTGACATCAGAAAAGACACATAACAGAGGATCCCCTCACCCTCTTGGGTTCTGCTCTTCTGGATCCTGAAAGGCAATTCTTATCTGCTGTATAACCCTCTTCCAGCGGACGTCTGGAAGTTAATACAAACACTGACTTTATGTACGTCATGTTAGCCTCATTAAAATGGAATCCTACCTGCATGCCAGATTTGTAGAATTTCATATTTAGGAAAAGCAGTCATTTTAACAATCTCAAATTCACAGGAATTTCCAGATGCTAGCCAAAAGAACAGCCAGTGGGTCTGGCCTGTACCCTGCATTAATTCCTGCCCCAAAAAGCTCTTTTCCGGACACTACAACTTCCACATAGGCTAGACCCCCATTAGCACAGCTTCCCAACTTACGAAGCAAACTGCATCACCTTATTTTATTCTCAGGACTTCTAAGTGAGGTAAGTAAGGTAGGGAGTATTATACTGTTTCATGAGTGAGGAAACTGAGGCCCAAGAGAAAAGAAGCAATTTGCCCAAGGTCACACAGCAAGTCTATAACCCATTGCACTTGAACTTAACTTTCCATAGCTCATCCCAGTACATAAGGCTGAGGACTTGGGGGTTCCCATGCAAAACTCTGGGCAACTGTGAGCAGCTAGAGCACAAGACAGGAGCTCGGAGACCTAAGATGTACTGCGACTATCCCTGGACTTCTGTTCCATCCGTAATTCAGGTATGCCACCATATACAAATAACTGTTTCTATAAGAGTACAGGAGAGCCTAGCCGGTCTGGGGGAAAATTAAATGTTTAATTTCTTAAACATGTGAAATTTTTAAAGGGAAAAGAAGTGAGAGAGAGAGGGAGAGAAAATTCCCCTTTGACGGAAGCTACCACAGTATCAGGCATTCATTTGTTATTTCCAATCATTTCCCTTACTATAAAAGAAATATGAAAATGAAAATGACCAATAAGTCCTGGTTTCCAAATTCTCAATTACTTACCAAGGGTTCCAAGGTGCTGATATCTTTCAGTTTATTTCCACTTAAATTTAGATGTGTGAGATTTGGAAGTTTTTCTGCCAACATGTCCAGACTTCCACAGATTCTATTGTCACTGAGCTCAAGCTGCAAAAGAAAATGCACACAACACACACACAAATATATGGAGGAGCACGTGTCATTAAGGCTCTAAAGAGCAGATACTTCCTACACACCAAGGTCAAAAACCCTGTTTTTATTAGCACATATCATGTTCATTTTGCTTTACTCAACCCTGCTAAGCAGTTTACAGGCCCCAGCAGCATTTCAGGGCAGGAGAGGCAGCACAGGATTGAGCAGAGTTGTGTTTTCTCAACCACCTACTAATTTTAACAGTTTGCTTGAGAACTGGCCCCTAACATCAGTGAATACATTTTCTAACCTAAAAAGTGGGTCAAAGCAAATTAGAATTCTTTGAGAAGTTGTAATGCTCTATACTTGCCAGGAAGGGTAAATGGTCCATGCATTCCAAACAGTTGATTGTGTGTGCCAAGCCAAGCTCGCTGTGCCCACTCGAAACCTAATCTGGCTCCGCACAGCGCTGACACACTGTGGAGTTCTACACCGGGAAGCCACCGGGGAATGTTGATCTGAAGACCACAGTAGTAAAGGCCCCAAAAAGCCCTTAAAGAAGGCCCATGACCTCAGGAAAGGGAATGGGGCAAAAGCTTCAGGGTAGCTACAACCAGCTCCCTGGAGGCCACTTCTTGCATCAACCTGGCCTTTATAAGAAGCTACTCTAATTTCTTAGCAGCAGGTCAAGTAGCACAGTGAGTGGTGTGCCAATGAAGGAAACGAGCCTTCAGCAAGGAATATTAGAATCTTAGAATGAAAGATATTGGAGCCTGGAAAAATTAGATGGTCAAGAGCATTTAATTCAAATTCTTTATTTTACAGATAAAAAACCTTAGGTCATACTGCTGGTTTTAATTCCCTATTTTAACCACTCAAAACAATGGTAATTGTATCTAACCCTTACTTACAAGTACCTAAGTGCCAGGTACTGTTTAAAGCACTAGAAATACAGGTGTGGACAAAAACAAATTCACAGTTGTTTATATAGAAAATAGTACAATAAATAATAATACAGTAATAAATTCAGTGTTTTGCATACTCACAACTAACTGTAAACCTACTTCTGCCCACCCCTGTACATGAACTCAGTCTCACAATAACCCCATGGGGTAAGCAAAACTACTACTTCCCTCTGACAGATGAGGAAAACGAATTACAAAGAGACTAGTACCATGTCCAAGAGCACACAGCTGTTACAGTGGTGGACTCATGTTTTGAGGCCAGGAAGACTAGTTTCAGAAGAATCCATGCCCTCTCCACTATGCTATGTACCCTGAAGAACATGAAAACGTCATGTAATTTTATCTATGGCATGCAATGAAATAAACCTATGATGCAGAATAGAGTAACTTCTAAAAGTGTAAATAGTTGCTGAAACAATCAGTTTAAAAAACAGCTGAAGCCCTGACCAGTATGGCTCACTTGGGCATAGTTCCACAAAGCCAAAGATCGCCAGTTCAATTCCCGGTCAGGGCACATGCCTGGGTTATGGTTTCAGTCCCTGGTCAGGGCATGTACGATTGCATCTCGATGCTGCTCTCCCTCATTCTCTTTCTCCCTCCCTTGCCCTCTCTCTGAAAAATAAATAAAACCTTTAAAAGAAAAAACAAAACAAACAACAACAAAAAACAACAACAACAACAACAAAACAAGCCTGCTGTTCAGGTGTTATTAAATATCTCAGAAGAGGAGAATGTAACATTTCAGACAATTCTTTCCTTCCCATAGGATGTTCCAGTCAAACAGCTTGCACTATATGGTTTTTAATTTTTTGTTTGTTTACTGAGAAGAGAAAGAGAGAGCAACAGTGACTGGCTGCCTCCTATACACGCCCCGACCAGGGATCAAACCCATGCCTAGGTATGGGCCCTGACTGGAATCGATCCCCCAACCTGCTGGTGTGTGAGACAACGTTCCAACCAACTGGGCCACGCTGGCCAGGGTTCATTGTATAGATTTTAAAATATAAGTCTACAGTCAACAAAGACTCAAGTATTAGCTTTAATGAGATATTAGTAAATCAAAATAATAAAGGGAATACTTATCTTCATTGGCCAGAATATCACACATATGTAATATTCACATCCTTTCAACAAGAGTATCTTAGGTAGTAGAAATAAGGCAATCCGTCAAAGGATTAAGTAGCATTATTAATTTGAAATGCAAGCAATGTGTACTCTAGGAAGCTTGAGACATTTATTTATACCAAATTTCTTTCAGATCCTGTTTCTTGCTATAAAACCACCCGTGCTGTAGGAAGTACATAAAGTTCACATCAGCTGCGAGAACATCTATCTGCCTTTAAGTCTGATTCATGGGTATTTCTATTCCTCGCTCACTAACTCTACAAGTGACTGATTAAAATAAGACTTCAGAAGGATTTGATAAAGCCTCTATATTGATGATCAACTGATACACTTTCTGAATAAGTCTGACAGCACACAGACCATGGTAATTCAGGAAAATGTATTGGGATGCTAAGAAAACAGAACACAAAACACATACTACTAGGATCTGCGGGCATCAAGTTTACGTGGACAGATGCTAAAAAGCCATTGGTTGTTTAATGGGCTAACCAGAGCTTCCAGTGTCACCAATAACCCATGCAAATAAAAAGGATGACTCCTGAATTACTAAAGCATACTTATCAGAAGAAAAGAAACATTTACCCATTTAAATATAACAGGAGTCATATGTATAGGAAGCAGGTCACCCTGAAACCCATGAGGGCTGTCTGAGCATTTACTACCTAAATAAGGCATACAAGTAAAAAGCATTTCTAGTTTTTAATTCACATGCTTAGGGGAAAAACAAGTCCCTCTCAGGACTCAGAAGCAAACTATAGGAACAACATACTGGCCCTTTGCTTAAATTTGATCACACCTTTGTTTAGACAATAAAGTGAACACCTAAACAGTAAAGGATTCTGCAACATTTACATGACCACATAACTTTCTGTATGTAGTAAAAAAGGTACTGGGTTAGGAAAAAGGACACACGGAGTCTAGTTTTGGCTCTAGCACTAAGCACCTTTGTGGGTAGCTTTAAGCAAATTACTATACCTTTCTAGGTCTACTAGTGTGCCTGTAAAAGAAGGTGCTGGGCTAGAAGATCTAAGTTTCTTCCAGTTTTGATTTTCTGGGGTTCTGTGACAGTTAAATGTGCAAGGACACAAAAAAATGTCTCTCTCTTTAATTTAAAGAAGGGGGTTGGAGGTGGATAGTGACTGATTTGCAATCAGACGAATGAAGTGCTAACACCAGACCACCAGCTAGGATAAGGAAATACAGTAATGTTGTTACAGTGGATTCTTACAGTAAGTCACAACACATTTTAAACTTCTAGTCATTAAAAATTATGCAATGGATTTGAATGATCATAAAGACTATAAATTTGAAGACTTTACTACTTAAACTCACCCTTAATCAATAAATATAAAACATGAAAAGTGGTAGGTACTTGTTTCCTAAACCAGAGCATACTAAGAATGAAATGTATCTAACATTATAGCAACAAATTTATAATATTAAGTAATACATTATTCACAAATTAATTATTCTTCATAATTATTCTACTATTTATTTAGCATCCAACATCTATAATTTCCAAACATCACAGCAATTCTGTAAGGCCAGGTGGTATCACCAGTTTATAGGTGAGGAAATTGAGCCTTAAAAGGATTAAGTAACCTGCAGAAGATGACCCATCAAGGAAACGAAAGAGCTGTAATTCAATCCCAGATATCCCTGGTTCTAAAGGCCTTGTGCTTTCTGCTCCGCTAAACACTTCCTTACAGGTAAAATCATACATTTTCCCCTTGTCAGGATGGTTCTCTCTTTTACTGTTATAGAAAAAGCACTTACCTTTTTCAATTTTGGTAGTTTGGGGAGATTTGAAACTGAAATCAAGCCTACATTAATTAAACTGAGGAACTCTAAGTTCACAAATTCAGCTGTTAAGCCCTCAATTTTTCCATCATTCGATTTGCAATTGTCCAGGACAAGTTCTCGAACCTGTGGATGACAAAGGAAGAAGAAAAAAGGACAAGCTTTAAAAAAAACACACAGAAAACAAAAAAACAAAAAAACAAAACAAAGCAAAAGCACCAACCATAAACACCCAGCAAAACACACCCATATATAGAGGCAGCCTCTACTTAGACCTAGATCACAGTTATAAATAAATGAAAAATGATTAAGCCTTTAGTAACAATATACTAATAGATACCAAGGGTGGAATGTTACACCATGGTATAAATAAAGATTTAAACTCTTTCCTTTCCAGAGACAGAAACTACAGTTCTTAAGATATAAGTGAAGAAACCATATCTCCCCTATTCCTTTTCCCAAGTCTGTTCTCCAAGGGGTAGTTTTGACTATAAATGCGGAGTGAAGAAACCCCCTGGCCCTCTTTCAGGCCGAGTCTCTACCTCAAGGCCCAGGAGAACGACACAAGGAAAGGAGGAATGCTTTACTTTTCCTATCAAGATCACAGAGATTCCGGCAGCACCATACACTTCCACTTGTGGTTTTTATTAATCTTCACTCAGATTATATTGTCACTAAGAAGGGATCAAGATGCAAAGGCCTTAATTCAAAACAAAGACCAATTTGGGTTACATTTGAGAACAACAGCGGGGAGAACTGTCAGACATTACACTGGGTTCCTTTCTCAGGCCATACAACCTCCTTTGGAGGGCCTGAAGTTCAGAACTCAAATCCATCCAAGGGTGTCACATCTGAAGATTTTGAATACTGATTATTTAACAGTCTACTGTGTGAATACTATACTAATCCTTATTGCCACTCTTGCTCTGTGGTTGACTTTGAAACTTGCAACTTTAACACGTTTTGATCCATTTATAGTGATGCAAATTAGTTTTAACTGCCAAAGGCATTCTTGCAGTGAATCTACCAAGTTGAATAACATCAACCAAGTGTGTGTGTGTGTGTGTGAGAGAGAGAGAGAGAGAGAGAGAGAGAGAGGGAGAGAGGGAGAGAGGGAGAGAGGGAGAGAGGGAGGGAGGGCGAGTGTTACAGGGAGATGCCGACAGTTCTAAAATGGTGAGCTAGTTAGTACTGGCTTCATCCTCCCTTACAGAATCCAAGGATCCTACTCCAGCAATATGCTATCATTTATGGAGAACTTACTTACTATTCTGCGTACCACCCTCCCCCGCTGTACAGAGAAGGAAACAGATTTATAGAGTCAGTGATACCCACAACACCACAACTTCTCACTGCCCTGTCTGCTTCCTCCTCAGAAGCCCTGGTTTCAGTCAGGATGCATGTGGTCCTATACCTTTTTACTTCTTTCCTCCCATCTTTCCTTCCTTCCTTTTCTCTAGATACCTCTGCTGTTCTTCCTTTTCCTGATGAAAATTAGCACACGTGAAAACCTAACATGTCAACTAATGAAAGCCAGGCTCTGGAGACAGATGCCTGGGCAGAATCCTGGCTCTGCTACTTAAAACCCCTATGATCTCAGGCAAGCCACTTAAGCTCTCTGCGCCTCAGTTTCCTCATCTGTGAGGTGGGAAAACAGTACCCACTTCAAGCACCCACTAGTGCTTGAGACTTAGTAAATGCTGAGAAAGTAACCTCTGGGGAAAGGGAGAAAGAGGATGACAGGGACCTCTGCTGTCTACTTTAGTCATATCTATGCTTTTCTTTTACAAGCAGGTATTTCTTTTGTATTAAGAAAACCCCAAAAACTATGGAAAATGTGAATTGTAATGGCCACCAACCTAAGTAGTATACTTAGACACTACTAAGATGGCCCCATTTGGTTTGGGGAACTTTCTATGACTATATCTGACAGAGAATGCAAAATTATCATACAGAATGACACCAATATGCCAAAAGTCAATTAAGGAGGATTTAGAGTTAGCCATATTGCCTCTTAAGCCATTCTGCCTTCCAGCTCACTGGGTAAAATCACCTTTTGGACAATTTCTCTCAACTAGTAAAATTCTACTGTAATGAGAATCATCAAAAAAACTACCATACATCGATTAAATGTGAGTTAAAACATGTTTAAGAATCAAGAGGAGGAAATTGGGAGAGGAAATGTTAATTTAAAGTGGTTCTAATTTGCAGGTTTAACAAATGAGTATAGAAGATGACAGAGAGGAACTGAGGTTCTGGTTTAGAGAAAGGGGAACCGTGTAGCTAGATGGAAATGAGAAAGGAACAGCTTGCTGAGGGAGGGGTAAGGAATTACAAAAGGGATACCAAGCTTAAGTTTCCCGTGGGATGGCCATATGAAAGGAACCCCAGGCGGACATGTGGGTTTGGAGTTCAAGGGAGGTCTGGGTTGTAAATTCCCTATTTAAGAGTCATCAGGATGGAGACACTAGTGGAAGGGTAGAATTCCTAGGAAGAGGACAAAGGATGGAATCCTGGGGATGCTGCAAAGAAGACTTGAAAAGAATCGGGAGTACCCAAGAGTGAAGCATGAGTTGGAAACACCCGGAGAGGCTTATGAAATAAGGCACAAGAAGTGATCGAAAAAATTAGAAAACTTAAATGCCCATCAACAAGGGATTCATTTACAGGATACACTTTGGGATGAAAAAAGTACAGAATGCATGTTATTATTTACATAATATACCACACATTCACTTTCTTATATGTACATAAAATCTCATAGGAATCACCTCTCAGAGAGAGGCCTGGGAGACTTTTCTCTAGAGCCTTATTTTGCACTTCAATGATGAGACTATTAATCTATGTTTAAAAATAAAGGTAAAAAGCCCTAGCTGGTGTGGCTTAGTGGCTTAAGCACCAGTCTGTGAACCAAGGGGATGCCAGTTTGATTCCCAGTAAGGGTAAATGCCTGGGTTGCAGGCCAAGTCCCCAGCGGGGGGCACGTGAGAGGCAACCACACACTGATGTTTCTCTTTCTCTCCCTCTCTTTCTCAAAATAAATAAATAAAACCTTCAAAAAAAAAAGGTAAAAAAAGTCACTGCTAAGAATACTGCATGGGGTGGCAGGATTGTAGGGGACCAGCAGAAGATGCAGTGGGAGAAAACCTGGATATAAACAAAACCTACCTTCTGATCATAAGCACAATCACATTAATACAAAACATATTAATGTTTATCACTATTGATATTTTGGTATATTTTCTTCAGCCTTTGTATATTTAAATATAGGTGAGATAAAACTACATAACTTAGCATACTTTAAAGTAACAGCTCTGAGTATCTGTTAATAGCTAAAGAAAGTGTATGGATGTACCATTAAATTTCAATCCTCCCTCCAAAACAGTTCATTTTCCCTATTATAAATAATGTCATAGTATCTTTTCATGTAAAACTTCTTATGTAATTATGATTGTTTCCTCACAATCTATTGCTAGGTGAAAGAATATACCATTTGAGTCTGTTATTGAGTTATGAGTTCTTTATTTAAAATGGCAACCAACCCCTCTTTTTAACACTTTTTATGACCTTCCTTGATATTCAGAAATTCCAAGTATTTGCATTTATTCACCTTTTTCTTGAGGATATTGTTTTTACCCTGAGAAAAAAAGCACCCCAAAACAAAGAGACAAAAAAACAGACAAGCCATAAAATACAAATCATCAATAGACACTTAAAAAAATGTTTAACTACAAGATGTAATACAAATGCATTATTTAAACTAATGTATGTTGGGTTGGCCAAAAAGTCCATTACATTTTTTTCTGAATGATGGCTTTACTAGCACTTAGTGGTCTTAACTTCATCAAAACAATTTTGTTAGACTACATTGTGACAGCTGTCCTATCAGCATGCATTTTATAAAGAACATCAAAATTAGTGAATTTTCATGCAACCATTTTAATACTGAAGATGGAAGCAGATACACAACTGAAATGCAAAAATAAAGATTGGCGCGGTGTACGGAGAAGGGGCTATGACTGATCCAATGTGTCAAAAGTGGTTTATTACTTTTTTGGTACTACTGACATTTTGGCCAAATAATTCTTCCCTGTGGGGCTGTCTTATGCACTGGAAGATGTTTAGCAGCATCCCTGGCCTCTACCCACTAGAAGCCAATAGCGGGAGATAGCTGACACACTCAAAATATCCAAATCAATAAAGTTATTGGTGAAAATGAAAACTGTGTCAAATGTTAACAGGCTTTTTGGGCAACCCAGTATCATTGTGCTATTGTTGGAGGAAGGGCCGTTCTTCCTGTGCAGAAAACAGCTAGAACAGGCACAGTTACAGGTGAGTCTACAAGTGGAGAGCAAGAACTTCAGGGAACACACACGGAGACCTTTAATTTTCTCTATGAATAGGAGGCAAGAGAATTTATTGGGGTGCGTGGGGCCAAGAGCTGTATGGCTCAGCAGAGAAGGCATGTCCTTGCACTTTTCTAGGAAGGCTGAGGATGTAAAGAAATGTGCTACCCCAGAACAGGGCTCCAGAGGCACAGTAAGAGGACAGAGCAGAGTGGGAATTACTGCAGAAAGCAGAGACCACAGGAGGGCCCCACTGAGTGCTGTGCCCAAGTGTGACAGGCCTGGAGCCATCTAGCCTGTCTGAGGTTCTAAACAGGACTCTGGCGAAAAGGTTATCTTCTCTCAGGCACCGGGTCAGCAGCCTTTGAGATAACTAAGACTGTCCACTCCCTCATTCCTTCCAGAAGTGTGAAGGGGTCCAGCCTTCCTCAACAGGGAGAATACACCTGTGCAGGAGTATACGTGGGGTGGCGGTGGTGGAGGGAGTGGTAAACAGGTATATAGCCGTGCTGCCTCCCACTCCAAATCCAGGATAAATGGGAGATTCTAACCAAGGAGAAATGGCCCCAGTTTCTCCATTTATGCCCCAAATCCTCCATGACTACTACCTAAGGAGGTAACGGTGAGCAGGCACTTGTACATTTGTGTGTGCAACTTAGGGAGAGCTATCTGGTCCAAAATAATTAGCTGGCCTTCTGCTCAAAAATAGGTAGTTTAACTTTTGGGGTCAAATTCACTCCTCTTCATACCCCATTTCCCAATTAAACTAGCCTTTTCTCAAACATTAATTTAAGATAAATAAGAATTAAAAATAAAAACCTATTAATTCCTATTTAACTCTTGTTTTTCTTCTCTATAGCTAGCAGCAAAACAATACTGTTTTCACTGAAAATTTTGAGCTATATTGTAACTAAAAGTTATGGGGATGAGCTGGAAGCCACAGAAGACATTAAGTGACTTCCCTTCCGTCCTCTCCAATTTGATCTCACGTCCCTCTCCCCCCGCTACACTGAAAACAGATCAATTTTATCTAACTAGTTGGTTGACCTTCTCCGATGATGTTATCCTTGTTATAGGAGGGTAAGAAAAGTATGGAGGAATTAAAGATCTTTTAAATTTACCAATTCTCTTAGTTAAAAAATAACATTATTATTGTAGTAAATGAAATAATCCAAAAGGTAGAAAGAAAAAGTAACTCCTGCTGCTCTTGCTCATTTCCATTCTCCTAAGTTAACCAATGTGCAAACCTTTTACCCTACTGTTAGTTTAAAAGAATGTTTTCAAAATAACAATAAAACAGATTTTTATTAGTGGGTCTCAAATGTGGTTAGGTTGTAGAACCACAGCATGAAGGAAACACCCATATCCTACTGGTGGGTAAAGGAAACCATTCTAAAAAGCAATTTGGCAGAAACAGAGATTCACTTTATGGGAGGTTCATTTCAGTACTATTTAAAATGGGAAAAAAAAAACCCAAACCCCAAACCCAACCACCTTCTAATCACCCCCATGGGGGTGCTTAAATTATAATCTATACAGACATTAACAATGAGGCTATAATGAATAATTACATAGAAAGATAAAGATGTTTACTGTCTTTAGTTATTACTAAATGCAACACAACCCAAAAGTCTAAATGGTAAAATGGGTGTGAGAAATATTTAATTTTTGCTTATCTATACTATTTTTTCTGGCTTATGTGTATCTAATTTTTCTTCAACAAATATGTATTACACAAGGAAAAAAATAAGTTGCTGTGCAAACAATTAGAATACTCCACTGTACTCAAAATTATATCACAAGAGACACAACAGTAGATGCCAATTTACTGGGGAAAAAGCCTAATTTATTTTCAGTAAGTTGGGACTAAGGAAAGACCATCCTTATTTATGGCATATTGAATGTCTCAGTCTAGCATATAGCCCACCAGTGGCCCATAGGGGCTCAGACTGTGAACCACAGGAACTGCTTGGCTTTTAACTTTGGACAAAAATCTCAAACAGAGCTAGTAACAATGCTAGCTGTCCCCAGATGCATAGTAACGAGGTGCTCATACCAACAACCTGTGTTGTGTGTGCCCTGTTCTAGGGCTGTACAATTTGTTCCCAGTGAAGTAACTGACAATACAAATATTTTATAAGAACTATTTCCTATCCTTGCCTGCCTATATTTTTGAATGGTTAGCACCATTCTTTATGAAGATGACTTTCAAAAGTCATCTTCATCATTTTTTCCACTGTGAGAACACACCTCTGATATCAAGAGCTGTTTTGGACTTAGAATTCTTCCTCTTTCCCCAAATGACAAAAGTCTTCAGGATCCCAGAGGCCAATCCAATTCTCTAAGAGGTAGCCCTGCATAAACATATGGAGCCATGCGACTAGCTGAGTTTGGTTTTAAAGGAGTCATCCTGGAATTTCTCATTTGCCAAAAGGATGATGCTTTTGTGCAAAAACACTTAACTCCTCATAAATTTCCCTTCAAAACCTACTGCATTTTTTCTCCCCAAAAGCCTTCAGTTTAAGGTCAAAGCTTTCATCTTTTCTCTTAAGAACCTAACTCCTACTGGCCTCGTCTCCATGTCAGAGTCCTTCGTCACAGCCTCCGCTGGCTCTGCAGCACTCTCAAGGCCCCTAACTGCACCAGTGCAACAGGCATCCCCGGGGTCCGAGGCCTCAGGAGGGGGCGGGCTGGGCCGCCGTCTCTGTTCACACTGCTTTGCCAGGTGCTAGCATACTGCTGGTACTCAAATATCCGTTCGATAAACCGCTGGATTACTGTAGGCTAGTGCCGCCCAATCCAGTAGCTACTAATCAATTGCGGCTTTTGAACACCTGAAATGTGGATAGAGCAACTGTCAAACTGACCTTTTAACTGAATTTAATTAAATAGACACGTGAATGGCCTGTCTTTAGCAAGAGAGTAAAGCCTAAGTTGATTACTTCCAAAATTAACGCTTGCACATATATGTACTTTAAAAAAAGCAATATATTAGTTATCTCATATAGGAAAAAATTCCATATACTGGGAACAGCAACCCAGTTGTATTTCCCATTGGAAGCAACACTGCTCTTAGTAGTTTTTTTTTTAATTGTCAAGTACTGTAAGGTTTTTTCTCCCTTAAAAAAAAATTTAACCTTTTTAATCGAATTTATTGGGGTGACGTTGGTTAATAAAATTATGTTTTAGGTGTACAATTCCATATAATACATCATCTGTAGATTGTTTTGTGTTCCCCACCCAAAGTCAAGTTTTACTCAGTCCTTTATAGTACTTTAGCTTGTGCACAAAGAATTCAAATTCTACTTGTGAAAACAGTTACCACTATGTGTGTACTTTTCTTTTAGAAATTTTGGCTAAATTTAATTACTCCACATTCTATTTATTTACAACTACCCAGAAATAACCTAAGCGTCTGAAATGAACAACCCAAGAACATAACTCTTCGAGTTTCACAGTGTGAAGAAGCTTAACCCTTCAATGTACTAGCACGTGGCCGACACAAAATGTCTGACTGATGAGCGGAAAGGGACGACTGTGTTCCGACCTCAACCTTAAAGGAGGGGGGGCGTACTTGCCGAGATGCCCACGCCCTCAGATCCCTCCAGGGACGCTCGGGGTGACCACGCGGTGCGGCGCCCCCAACCCCATTTGTGGAGACCTCAGGAATTCAAAACTTCGTGCATACCAGGTAAACCCTGGTTGAATTTCCACAAGTGGGCAACTTGTTACCCACGGCTGCCTGACTGCACGAAACGCACCCATCGCTTTCTGGACTGGGACGGGAGGACTTCTCCTGGTCTACCTCCGGCCAGAGCGCGCCACTCACCGACCAGGGGGTCTGGCAGAGGCGCGGCCTCCTCGCGTGGCGACCGGGAACCGTGGCCCCGCGCCGGGCCGCGGGAAGCCGCTCCAGTTCGCGGGGAGGGCAGGGGCGGAGAAGAAACAGGCGATTCTTAAAGGCCCACCCGCTGCTCACGCGGCCGCGGTCGGCCGCACTATGCACTTGCAGGGGCAGAGGCCTCCGAGGCCCGCTGGCACCCCCGCAGACTGGCATCGCCCTTTTAAGAAGGGAGGAGGAGGCCAGAGCTCTCCGGAGAGAAGATGAGTCGGCGGCGGAGAGCAGGGCTCGCGCCAGAGCCAGCCGAGCCTCGGCCAGGCAGGCAGAAAACAAGACGAGCTCCGCCCGGGGAGCGGCGGCCCGCAGCCACCGCCGGGGGCGGGCGGATGCCCGCCAACATGGCGCTGTTTCGGCCTGTGGCGCGCCCCGGCTGGCGCGAGGAGCCGCCGCCCGCCCACACCGAGGGGCCAGCCTCCCGGCCAGGGGGCCCGGGCTCCGCCGCCCCGGCGCGGGAGGGAGGGCGAAGTCGCCGCCACAACGGCTCACCCGGGCCGACCGGGACCCGCCCTGGAAAGCTGGGAGGGGAGAAGGCCCGGAAGGCGAAAGGGAAGCAAGAGACGGGGTGAAGAAAGTTTTATTTTTAGTCTTGAAAAATGGCGGGAACCGCGTCCTTTTTTCAAACTTGGCCTCGGGAGGGGCGGCAGTTGCGCCACCTCCGCCGCTCGGGCTCGCCCCTCCCCCGCTCCGCGCGGGCCAGGCCGCGCCCGCCTAAGCCCCCGGGCACCCGAGGGGGCTTTTCACCCAAATCCAAGGCAAAAAGCGCCCTCCTCGCCTCATGGTCCCTGCCCTTCGGCCGGGCCGGCGCCAACCTCGAGGCCGGACTGGGGAAGCCACCCCCACACTCCGTGCTCGAGCCCCTTCCCCGGCCGGCCCGGGGCGCGCGAAGCCCGGCCTGGTCCGCAACGGGCCCAGCCCGGTATGGCTGCGCGGCTCCCCGGCAGGCCCGCTCCCAGCCGGGCCGCGCATCCCGGGAGGCTGCAAACATGGCTCCCAGCGTTACACAACCCCCTCCTCCCTCCCTCGCCGCCGGCCACTCGCTCACACGCTCCCCCGGGAACAACCCCAGCGGACGAGGAGCTCAAAGTTTGCTCTCCCCCACCCCACCGCCTTCCCCGGAAGGCCGCGGGGGCCCGCGGACGCCAAAGAGTTAATCCCCGCGCGCTCGCTCCCCCCTCCGCGCCCTCCCGCCCGCTCGCCCGCCCGCCTTCCCCGTCCGAGCCCGCGAGCTGCGCCCTTCCCCGCGCCGGGGCCAGAGAACCCGGGGCCCCGCAGGTGGCCACCATTACATGCAAGTCATCGGAAGGAGAGGGCTCCCTAAGGGGGCTCTGCTTACAGCTGCCGGGGTCCGGTTCCTCAGCTCCAGGTGGATCCTCCTCTTCATGTCCATGTTTCCCTCTTCCCCCCTCTTCAAACTTAACTTTCCGCGGCGGGGGCGGAGGGGGGAGAGGCGTCCCGGCCTGCGCAGCTGGGACCGTCGGAAGGGGTCTGCTGGCGGCAGAGGCGGGCGGCGCGGTCCTGGGCAGCGGGCGGCGTGCGGTCAAGCGAGCGGAGCCCCCGGAGCCAAGTTACTCACGGGAGCGGAGAGAAACCATGGAGGGAAAAGGGGGCTGGAGCGCAGCGTTGGTCTCACTACCGCCGCCCCCGGCCGCGGCCCCGCACTGCGCTTAACGCGGCGACGCGGCGCAGGCTGCTGCTCCGCTCGACTCGGCCCCGCGCGGCGCCGCTCGACTAGGTGGCCGCGGTTGCACCAAGGACGGGGCGGGGAGACGCGGCGGGAGGGGCGGAGGCTGGGGGGAAAGGCGCAGCCCGGGGGACTGGAGAGACTTCCTCCCCTCCCTCTGCACGTGGGGTGGCTGATGTAAGACCTTCCTTGGGGGCTTCCCGGGCCCCACCTCGCTGCTCCCGGACGCGGGTGTTCGCCCGCGATTGGACGTTTGCAGGAGGGGCTGGGGGATGGCTTTACAGTACGACTTCGGGGGTCCGTAAGTCCAGGTCCGACCGCGGAGGCTGGACCCAGCCAGCCCGACGCCGCGAAGGCGGGACACGTGCAGGGAGCGCGGGACACGCGGCTTTCGGGTTCACCTTGTCCCCACCGTGTGGGTCAACAGCCCGAACCTTGCCGTCTCCTTGGACGGATGGTCGTGGAAGGGCTACGCGGACCCCCGTCAGGAGCTCTGTACCGCGTGGCACCGGGTGGAGTCGGCCTTCTCGGGGGCGGCTCCGGCCACTTGCCCAAGCCACAGAGAAGCCCAACGTCCCCGAGTTCAGTAGAATCTCCCTGGGTTTCTAACATTTAAATGTAGGCTAGCAAGGCAGCAATTAGCATTTCTAATGGAGCTTTGGAGTTTTACAGAGTTTTCCCGAAGACTTTTATCCCATTATTCCTTAGGGGACCCCTGTGAGGTGTGTAAATTCTTGTTGGTCTCGGTTTGGGTGAAGCTTGGCAGGTAGCCTTTGTAATGATCTGGTTCAGAGAGCATCCTGAGATCCAGGGTTAGAGCACTAAGTTTTGCTCAGGAGGTTTGCTTTGCAGACCTGCTAGAGTAATATAAGGTTATAGTCAGCATAACGTAAGTAAATATGTCATGTGTCTAAAATTCTAATATAGACAAAAGGCTCAAGAGATTGGGAACAGCGTGTGAATAAACAATTCTATGCATCAACCTAAGGCTTTCTTTGAGACTCTCCCCTCTCATTTTACCTGCGACACAACCACTTATATCAATTTTTAAAATGTGTAATTAAAATAAAAGAAAGTTCTTAAAAGGCTTATGGAAAAAAGGCAGGAACTTTCTAGTATGTTGTCTCCCAACTCTCGTATTTAAAATGTCGGTCTTAGCAGACATCTCTGTGACAGAAAACGGTGAGGGAAGTACTCTTCAGGGTGTCACACGAGGTCTAACACAAGGTTATGAGAACCACGGGGCCATGAGATGGAGGCTTTCTGGAAAAACTAGCAACTCAGTTCCTAACAAGCAATGATTGATCATCCCCTTTTAGGGCTTGATATGTTCTTTTTCACTTAACCAAAGACAGCCCTGTGAAGTAGATAGTATTTTAATCATTTTCCAGATGAGGAACTGAACCTTAAACTGCATGTCCAACAAGAGGTGGAGCTAGGTTTTAAACCCAGATGAGTCTAACGCCAAAGCCTGCCTTCTTTTCTGTTACACCATCAATCTGACTGGAATGAAGTCCTAGAACGAGGGCCTGATTTGGAACGGGAGGTCGGGAACACTTGTAGAGGACCTTTAGTACCAAACAGAACACGCAGGTGCCATCTTGCAGGTAAGGGGGGATGCTGAAGGAGACTGGATCACGGTAACTCGGTGCTAGAGAGCGGTAACCTGGTGGCTCTTGGGGGAGGCGGTACTGATGCTGAGGGCGAAACCAGGCAAATCTTGGGACCTTGTCCTCTAGGACCAACTCAAGGGCATGAAGGACTCTTTCCTCACTAAATAAATGTGCGTTTTATAAGATTAAGCTACAAAGTAATTAATAAACATAGCCACAATGTGCAGCAAATAAAAAGAAAGCGAAGGAGCCAAAGGAGGAGAGACTACAGACCCGGTACTGTCCCTTCTGACACAGCCGGTGCTGGCATGCACCTCTGTGAACAAAGAGCGTGTGTTCCAGTGACATGCTTCTTTGTCAGGGGCTTCACTGCCAGAGGCATAAATAACACAGGCAGAACAGGGTGTGTCTCACTGCCCTGCCAGCATCTCCCACTGGACTGTCAGTCCGCAGGCCTGAAGGGGCTGTTGTCACAGTGCCCTGGTTTTGAATATTGGTGTGCTTAACATCAGTCCGAGTATGCATCTGGGTGTGGGAAAGAAGTAGGGTATATAATTGTATCTAATCCATCGTTACTATCATGTTCATGGATTTATGGATTTGAATAGGGGCTGGAAGGGAATAAGGAAAAATGAAAACAGCTTATTTATTTATTAGGGAGTCCGAACTATGGATGAATCTCTTTTTTACTTCTATTGACATTCATGTTTGCCTGGTAAGTTATGAAAAATATCAAATAATGCCCAGTGTTGGGCACTCCTTTTAGTTTTAAAGCTGCCTGTTGTCCAGAATATGTGTCTCCCAATGAGCTCCAAATGGAGGAGAACACTAATTTGTAACTCCTTGGGCCTGCTTTCCATTCCACCGCCTCAGTATCAAGCAGGTCATCCGTCAAACCACCATCTGACCCGAGCCTTCCCCAAATTTTGTGGCTGGCAACAAGCTTTAATAAACCTGAAGTTGAGGCAAAACAGCCCCATTCAGCCATCAATTTAACTGGCTTGGAAACCAGCTTGGCAGAATGGCCCCCTTTCTCTTTTATAAAGACAATATATGAAGCTAATGGATACTTAGGGTGAAGAAAGGATTGCCTTTTAAAAACGAAATACTTCCATTCTGACCCTCCTCTGCTGTACACATGTGTACTCATTGCTGAATCGTCCCTCTGATGTCCCATAGCTTGGCGTGCATACCTGTTACAGCAGTTAGGCAATACATGGACGTTGTCGAAGGATCTAAAATTTCACCTAGACTGTGAGCTCACATGCATATTTCTGGATGATGTAAATGGATAGTAGGAGCCTGGTCCATCTTTAGAACATAGGTGGTCTGCGGATGTGTAGTATATTGAAAATAATGCTGCACATCCTCAAGAATACTATCTAAGCGGCTGGGGTTGTTGAGACAAGGGGAAGGGGAGAGAGAGAGGCAAATAGATGGAAATTGGGTAAGGAATGAGATTCTGTAAGTCTCCAGATGGTAAAAACAGAGGAGGGGAGAGTGTCAGGTGTGTAGGCAGTTGTAGGTCTAGTCAAGGGGCCCTTGCCACGGGAACCCGAGTCCTTCCTGCTCTCTGAAGTAGGCTCTGAGGCCTTCCTGGGGCAGTAAGGAAGAGCTATGACTACCAAGAATCAGGCTTACGATTTATTAAGTGCCATCTTGATGCCAAGTATCATGCTTGGGACTTTCACGTATATTGCATTTCAGTTAATCCTGGCAACAGCTCACTGGGACAAGACTATAATCCCTTCGTGTTGTTTAGGAAATAGACTCGGAGAAGCCAAGTGGAACTCACATAGCTAGTAAGAATCTGGGTTTCTCTGTCGTCATGGTCTCGCTGTAATTCATTCTCAATACTTTGATCCACTAGTCCTCACAACTGCTTCTAAAAAATCTTTTTTGATTTCTTTGCTTCTTTGAAGCAAATGCTCGTGTGTCAGGGGAGCAGGGAAAGAAAAACACAGAAAATAAAATTAAAAAATTAAATTCCTACCATTGAGATACACCCACCACTAAAAGTATAGATCCTTGCAGCTTTTTTTCTATATTACGCATAATTTTGAAAAAACAATGTTAGGATCAGATAAGATGTTTTTGAAACTTGTTTTTCCACCTACTATTGTGAAAAATGAGTTACTATGACAAATATGAATATTAATTTTGCTCAATGTTTTTCCCTTTTTAGAGAAAGACTCTAACGAGGCTTTTGGACAAACCACATAACCTCTCTGGGACTCAGGCTGCTCACCTCAGGACCGTGGTGAGGGGTAGACTTGGTCATGTGGGTGAGCTCCTGCCCGGCGCAGTGCCTGTCACAGCCACTGGTGCGCCCCCACCCCTCCCTTCCCCTAAGTAGAGGCCCAGAGCTTGCTGGCCTCCTCAGGGGCTATGCAGAAGCTCTGCTGTCCTCCACCTCTGCTCCACGTCCTTCGTTTCCTGTCCCCTGTTGACTGAGGAAAGGGCTCACCCCAAACCCTCTAAGTTGACTCTTAAAAGGGGTGGACTCTTCTGTTTCATAAAGTCCGTGGTCTCTCTTCACAAACTGGGACTGTGCTCGTGAGCTAGACTGGACAATAATCTGAGTGGCCCCACAGTGTTGGATATGGGTCTCCTCCATAATTAGCCAGTGTCCCCACCATCTGGACTCTTCTACCTGACAGGGATTCCTTGTCCACACAGAACTGTCCAAGAGACCTGCCCCTGCTGACCGAACTTTCCCCTCTGTTCCAAGCTTGCTTTGCCGACTCTAGTCCAGCCAGAGGCCCTTGTTGGCGGTGCTAGCTGGTCCTCACTCTAGACTCGGACACTCCTGGCATAATTTGTTAGTCTCATTTGGGTAAAGGCCAACACTTTACTTTTTTTAAAAAAAGAAATTATTTAGTTATTTTTAGAGAGAAAGGGAGGGAGGGAGAAAGAGAGGAAGAGAAACATTGATAAGTTGCCTGTTACCTCTTGCATTCCCCCAACTGGGGGACCTGGCCCACAACCCAGGCATGTACTCTGATGGGGAATCTAACCAGTGACCTTTCTGTTTGCAAAGGTCTACCCACTGAGCCACACACACCAGTCAGGACTCACATGCTGCTTCTTGAAAAGCAGGGCAGGAGCACCCTTCTCGTTGCTAAATGAGATGCTGTCGGATTCATGAATCATGTAATGCAGCCAATTAGATCTTAAAAAAAGGAAGAAGCAAAGCAGGACAGCCAGGTTTCTTTTTATGCCTATTTATGGATATACTATAGAAAACTTGGAAACTGTGCTCAACAAAGAGAAGAAAATAAAAATCTCAATTCAGGGCTGAGCATGCACTGATCACGTTTTGGTGTCTATTCCTCCAGTCTTTTCTCTGTACACATATGGCACTTTCTCAAGTCTCAGATTGCCAGAAGCATCGTCTCATTAATAATAACAGCTTTTCAGGGAGGCAGCAATGGGGAAATCCACTACATTAAATATTCATATTGATCATAAGAGATATCCTTACTTCAGAAATAGTAGTAAAAATATCATAGTTCCTAGGAAATATTATATATATTATATATTTTAATTTTTCTCAAAAGCTGGATGGTACTGTAGTCTGCTTTTTTCCACTTGGCAACATGTTATGAACATATTTCCTTGCCATTGAATAGTCCTCTACAATATATATTGCTTGACATTCTCCTACAAAATGAAAATAGCTTTTCTTTTTCTGATTATAAAGACAATACATATTCATGTGGCAAATTCATGCAATGCAAAAAAATATAAAGAAGAAAATAAAAGCCAGCTCAAATCCCATTACCTAGTGGCAACCACTGTTAACATCTTTTGTATTTTCTGAGCAATCTCTATTAATGTATATTCTTATGTAAAATATATATTATGTAAATGCATAATACTATAAATGGTGCTTCATAACATGCTTTAATTTTTCATTTAGCAATAAGTCACAGGGATTCCTCCAAGTCCATAAATATAAGTCTACTTCGTCACTTTTAAAGTCTGTATCATATTTCACTGTATGGTGCAGCATAATTTATTCACCTGGTTTCCTACTGATTGACATTTAGGTTTCTTCCAGTTGTTCATCATTGTGCATAACATCTTTCTACAACTGGCTCCTTGAAATAAATTCCTGAGTCAGAGGATGTATGTTTCAAATTTGGAGATGCACAGGAGATGCCCAGCAAGTTGCCCTTCAGAGGCTGTACTGCTCTTATGCTCCCACTAACAGTGTCTGGCTTCCCCTCACCTTGCCTAAAGTAGGTATCATCATTAAAAGATTTTTTATCAATCAGTTTCAACTGATGGCAAGGTTGAAAACCTAAGGGTGCCAAGATAATTCGATGTGAAAAGAATAGTCTTCTAAACAAATGGGCTGAGACTACGATATATACACATGCAAAAGAACGAAGTTCAACTTCTACGTCATACTGTATTAAAAATTTACTCAAAATGGATCATGGACTTTAATATAGAAGCTAAAACTATGACTTGGAAGAAAACATAGGAATAAATCTTCATGACCTTGGATTTGGCAAAGCTTCCTTAGGCATGAGAAGTACAACTTACCAGAGAAAAAAACAGATATATTGGACTTAATCAAAATTGAAAATTTCTGTGCCTCAAATGACACTGTGAAGAAAGTAAAAGATGCCCCGGCAAGTGTGGCTTAGTTGGTTGGAGCATTGTCCAGTCATCTGAAAGGTTGCAGGTTCAATCCCTGGTCATGGCACATACCCAGGTTGCAGGTTTGATACCCACTTGGGTGCATGTGAGAAGGCAACACATCGATGTTTCTAACATCGATGTTTCTTTCTCTCTCTACCCTCCCCCCAACCCCTCTCTCTGTCTCTCACCTCCCCTCCTTTCTCTCTAAAAGCAATGAAAAAAAAAATGTCCTCAGGTGAGGATAAAAAAGAAAAAAAAAGAAAGTAAAAGACAATGCATGGAATGAGAGAAAATATTTGCAAATCCTATATCTAATAAGGGGCTTGTATTCAGAATATAAAAGAACTATCAGAACTCAGTAACAAAAAGACAACCCAATTAAAGATGGGCAAGGCATTTCCTCAAGGAAGATATACAAATCATCAATAAACATGTGAAAAGAAGTTAAACATTAGTAGGCATTGAGAAATGCTAGTCAAAGCCATCATGAAATACCACTTCACATCCACTAGGATAGTTACAATAAAAACAGACCAGTGTCGGTGTGGATGTAGAGAAATGGGAAGGAACCCTTGTGCTTTGCTGGTGGAAATGTAAAGTGGTGCAGCTGCTGTAGAATTCCTCAAAAAGTTTGACATAGAGCCAGCAATTTCATTACAAGGTATAAACTCAAGAGAATGAAAATATATGTTCGTACAGAATTTGTGCATGCATGTTCATAGCAGCATTATTTATAATAGCCTTAAGTGGGAAACAACTCAGATGTCCATAATCTGGTGAATGGATAAACAAAATGTGAAATACCCATACAATGATCTTTTTTCAGCCATAAGAAAGAATGAGGTACCAATATTGCTACAACATGGATGAATCTTAAAAAGATGCTAAATGAATGAAGCCAGACATGAAAGCCAACCGCACACTACATGATTCCATTTATGTGAAATGTCTAGAATGGGCAAATCCATAGAGTAAGAAAGCAAATTAGCCTTGGCTGGTGTGTCTCAGTGGATTGAGTGCCAGCCTGTGAACCAAAGGGCTGCTGGCTTGGATTCCCAGTCTAGGGCTCATGCCTGGGTTGTGGACCAGGGCCCTAGTAGGGGGTGTGTAAGAGGCAACCACACATTGATGTTTCTCTCCTTCTCTTTCTCCGTCCCTTCCCCTCTCTCTAAAAATAAATAAGTAAAATAAAAAATTTTAAAAAAGAAAGCAAATGAGTGGTTGCCAGAGGTTGCAGGAAGGTGAGATAGAAAGTGATTGCTAATGGCTATGGGGTTTCTTCTTGGGGTGATGAAAATATTCTGGAATTACATGACAATGATTTGGTTGCACAACTTTGTGAATATACTAAAACCCAGCAAACTGTATACTTAAAAGAAAGTTAAACATAGAGCTACCATATGACCCAGCAGTTCCACTCCTGGGTACATGCCCAAAAGAACTGAAAATGTCAATCCACACAAAAACTTGTACAGGAATGGTCATAGCATCGTCATTTATAATAGCCCCAGTGGAAATAACCCAAATGGCCATTAACTGATGAATGCTTAAATAAAATGTGGTATATCCATGTGGTAGGCAGAATAATGTCTCTCCAGAGATGTCTTAATCTCTGGAACTTGTGAATAAGTTCCTTAGGTGGCTAAAGGGATTGTATAGGTGTGATTCAGGATCATGAAATGATATCGTCCCAGATTATCCATATATGGCAAAGGTCCTTAAAAGTTGTAGAGGGAGGCAGAAGAGAAAGGAAGAGGGAGAGTTGACTACAAAAGAAGAAATCAGAATGATGTGACTTGATAAGGATTCAACAACCTACCATTGCTGGCTTTGAACTCGGAGGAAGAGTGTCTTAAACCAAGGGGCGTGGATGGCCTCTGGAAACCGGAGAAAGGAAGGAAACGGGTTCTCCCATGCAGCCTCCGAAAAGGAATGAAGCTCTGTCAGCACCCTGTTTTTCGCCCGTGATAACCATTTCAGATTCTAACCTACAGAACTGTAAGATGATAAATGTGTGTTGTTTGAAGCCACTAAATTTGTGGTAATTTGTCATGACAGCAGGTAGGAAACTGATACGTCCATACAATGTTTGGCCGTAAAAGGAATGAAGTACTCATAAATGCTACAACGTGGATGAAACTTGAAAATGCCATGTGAAAGAAGACAGACACAAAAGGCCACATAGCGTATGCTTCCGTTTCTGTGAATGTCTAAAGCAGGCAGATCCTTAGAGACAGAGAGCAGCTTAGTGGTTTCCAAGGAAGGGGTGTAAGGAGAATGACTGCTAGTTAGAATGGGCTTTCTTTTTGGGGTAACAAATGCTGTGGCATTTGATAGTGGTGATGGTTGCACAACTCTGTGAATAATACTAAAAACTACTGAATTGGCCACTTTAGAAGGGTGAACTTTATATCATAACTTTATGATATATAAATTATGTAAATATATAATCTAAATGATATATAAATATCTTATATAAATTATATCTCAAGTATATACATTATATAAATAGGAATCATATCAACAAAGCTAAGTTTTTTTGATCAATTAGGTAAGTTGACAATGCTATCTCATTTTTCTTTTATTTATTTATTTACTAGACAGGAAAGAGAGATTGGTTGATTTTGTTGTTCCACTTACTTATGCATTCATTTGTTGATTCCCGTGTGTGCTCTGACCAGGGATAGAACCCACGACCTTGGTGTATCGGGATGATGCTCTGACCAGCTGAGCTACCCTGCCAGGGGCCATTCTAATGGGGCTGAATATTTTTTCAGGTATTTATAAGCTAGTTGTATTTCTTTGTTAAGTTGACTGTTGGTATTTCAAAATTATTTCTTAATAAGTGCTTTGTATATATTAAAAATATTAACCCTTTATCTACCATACACATTCAAACTATTCTTCCCCACCTGTTTTGTTTCTGGGATGGATAAACACGCACACACTGGGGAGGATGATGACGAAAAATTTGAAATTGTATTTAGGATAAAACTAACTTTTATGGTTATCGCTTTCACGTCCTGCTTAGAAAGGCCTTTTCCACTCCAAGATTATATCATTACTCACCTATATTTTCCTCCAGTACTTCTGGGTTCATTTTTATGTGAAATCTTTCTATAGACTAATCTTTTCATGTATGGTTTGAGGTAAATGTAATTTTATTCATTTTTAATGATTAGCCAGTTGTTCCAATACCATTTATTTATTTATTTTTAAATGACTAGTGAGACATTTTACTTTCTCTTTTTTTTTTAAGTACTTTATTTTTTTTTAAAGATTTTATTTATTTATTTTTAGGGAGGGAAGGGAGGAAGAGAGAGAGAGAGAGAGAGAAACATCAATGTGTGGTTGCTGGGGGTTATGGCCTGCAACCCAGGAATGTACCCTGGCTGGGAATTGAACCTGGGACACTTTGGTTCCCAGCCCATGCTCCAATACCATTTATTAAATAACCATCTTTCCCCAGTGAACATGAAATATGACATAAATTCTTATATATTCTTAAGTTTATTTCTGGACCTCCTTCTCTGTTTAATTAGTTAATTAAGTGTATCTATCTATCTGCCCCCTTCCCAGTACCCATCTGGGAGAGTTTGGAAGGTAGAGCCAGCAGACAAACGGCAGAAGACAAGAAGTAGACTCTCCGGAGAATGGGCTCAGAGCAGTGCTGGCCTCGAGAGGCCAAGGCCCAGGTGAGGGTGCATCTCTGTTAACCTTGCAGAAGTGGGGAAGTACCTTTTGGAATGCACAGTAGCACCTCTACCCTGATGCTATGCCCTCTCGCCCTCTGTTTTTCTCCTTCCCTATTCTTCTCTCCCCCTCCAAAGAATATCTTATCAGTTTAGGTGTTCAATGATAGCAGAAGGTTATCTGGTCAGTCATGATAAATTTAACTTACTTGCTTATCTCCACACCCTCCCAAGCCCTTAAAAGGACTCAAAGATAGAGAGCTGAGGAAATTTTCTCAGAAAATAGAACAAAAAAAGAAAGACATTATTACAGGTAAAGGAAAAATAAAAGTAATGGATCAGTCCAGGAGGTCCAATATTTGACTAATCAGAGTGCAAAAAAGAGGAAAGACATAAAATGGAGGGAATAAAGTGGGAGTCTACATCCCAAAACGGTGAGGTGTCCCTCCAACTCCTTGCCACCAGCTCAGCCCCAGAATGCTAAAAGCTAATCTCCTAAGTCCCGAGACTAAAGGATTCTTTTCTGGGGAAAGTGACTGAGTTAAGAGAAAATAAATATCTAAGATAACCAAATCTGTTTTATTTTAGTTATAATATTTTAACTTCCAAGGGCTCTTTCTTGCTCTTTGTACTTATTCATTTTTCATAGCATCTTGTTTTTATTTCATCCATGTAACATCTCTTAAAAAAAAAAACAAACAACAAACCAATACTGTAGGTTGGGGAAGTCAAAGCTGTGTGGGAGTGAGAGTGTAAAGAGAGCCACATTCTTACTTTCCATAGTAGGAAGCTGATAGCTAATGTTAGCTGTTAATGTCTAAACTTAATAAAAACAGTATAACCACATTATATAAAAGGAAGCAAAGACTAGAGGCAAAGGCCAATAGAGTGGAGGTTGCTGTCTCTGGAGAACAGGAGGGCCAAGGCAAAGGACAGCTGTTTTGGTGACAAGCTCTGTAGCAGCTCTGTTTGGTGTTTAGAATTCTGACCATCTATTACTCTGAAACCAATGAAATTTAAATCGATATCCAGTAGGGTAAAGGCAGTTTCTTCAATAAATAGTATTGTGAAAACTGGGTAGGTACAGGTAGAAAAAAATGAAACTAGACCACTTTCTTACACCATATACAAGAATAAACTCAAGATATATTAAAGACTTAAATGTAAGACCTGAAACCATAAACTTCCTAGATGAAAACATAGGCAATAAACTCTGGTATTGTTCTTAGCAATATTTTTTTCTGTATATGTCTCCTTGGACAGGGAAAAAAAAACTAAATCAAACTAAAAAGTTTTTTTACAGCAGAAGAAACCATGCACAGAATGGAAAGACAACCTACTGCATGGGAGAAGATATTTGCCAATGATATAGCTGATAGGGAGTAAATACCCAAAATATATAAAGAACTCGTATAACTTAAAACAACCAAAAAACAATCTGTTTAAAAAACGGGCAGCTTAGACATATGAAAAGATGTTCAGTGTCACTAATCATAAGAGAAATGCAAAGTCAGACCCTGATGAGATCACCTCACCCCTGGCAGAATGGCTGTCATCAATAAATCAACAAACAACACGTGCTGGCGAGGATGTGGAGAAAAGAGAACTCCCGTGCACTGTTGGTGGGGTTGCAGATTGGTGGAAAACAGTACAGAAGTTCCTCAAAAAATAGAACTGCCATATGACCCAGCAATCCCACTTCTGGATATTTACCTGAAGGAATTCAAAACACTAATTTGAAAAGATAAATGCATCCCTCGTTCACTAAAGCATTGTTTACAGTAGCCAAGACATGGAAGCAACCTAAGTGTTTCCATCAATAGAGGAGTAGATAAGACGATGTGGTACATATATACAATGTAATATTATCTGACCATAAAAGGAGAATGGAATCTTACTATTTGTGACAACATGGGTGGACCCAGAGGGTATTATGCTAAGTGAAATAAGTCAGACAGAAAGACAAACACCATATGATTTCACTTATATGTGGAATCTACAGTGGAATCTAAGAAAACAAAGAAAGAAAGAAAACAGAAGCAGACTCATAGATACAGAGAACAAACTAATGGTCGCCAGATAGAAGTCTGGGTTGGGGAGCTGGGTGAAAAAAAGGTGGAGGAATTAAGAAGTACAAATTGACAGTCACAAAATAGTCATGAGGATGTAAAGTACAGTTTAGGAAATGGGGGCAATAATATTGTAACAACTATGTATGGTGTCAGGGGAGTACTAGGCTTATGGGGGGGACCCACTTTGTAAGTTACATAAATGTCTAACCACTATGCTGTACACCTGAAAGTAATATAATATTGGATGTCAACTGTTAACTGAAAAACATTTAAAAATAACATTTTGAGAAAGGAAAAAATACTAACAGAAAGCAAGCTGGCAGAGGAGGGCCCTGATAGTGGGTGTGGGTATCGGGCAGAGGTGTTCTGCCTGCCGCAGAGATCTGTCTGTTCCCAAAGGGCTGAAGGTCCCCAGGGTGCAGAGGACAGCTGGTGTGGGCGGAGCCAAGGGCCTTCCTACCTTTTCTCTCAAGCAGTCTGCTCGTGGAATGAAAGTGGATATGAGCTCGAAAATGGGACAGATTTTCTGAATCCAGTTGCAGCGACATTCACAGTAAAAGAGGAGAGATGTTGCCAAGACACTGGTGTTACATTTCGCTCAGATTTTGCGTGGGGTTGGGCGAGTCCTTATTTCCCCATTTCTTCAGATATGTTTTAGCAAGAAACTGAGCGATAGCCAGGGGCTACTAGGCAGCCACTGTTTGTTTGTTTTTAATTTTTACTTTCTTAAATTTTTAAAATGATGTTAGAGAATGAGGAAGGAAGAAAGAGAGCAGCCTTGTTTTGGAGCGAGAGCACGTCTCCTTTGTGCGTGACCCTCCCCATAACACACTACTGGGGTTGTTTCCACCGCGTGGGGTTGCAGCGTGAAAAGACTGGGCTTTTTAAAGGATCAGCATCATTTATACACATGCTATGAACGGAAACCGGCTGTGATAGGCACTCATTTAGTTAGAGCTATTTCTGCACCGGCAGGCTAATTAAAAGCCTGTGACAATACCCCACACCTGAGGTAACAGAAGTTTAGACCAAGTTGGGTTTGTTTTGTTTTTTTTGTTTTGCTTTTTTCTGTAAAAAGAGGAAGGGTCAATATTTCACAGGAGGACCTGACAGGGCTTTGTGACAGGCTGAACGTATGAGGTGAAGGGGCAGGGACCTCTGCCTGCTGAGTCCCTCTTCTCTTCACAGCCCGGACCAGCCGGTCCCTCTGCAGGCTCTGGCCTGCGCGGGACTATAAGGGGCCCTGGGTGGTTCAGTGGCTCAGCCTGCCTTCCGGGCCCACCCGTCCCTTTCATCCTGCTCCTGGGAGCTACGCTCTCACCACACTGTGGGACTTGTTGAAGGTGTGGTGACGTGGCGCACAGAACACTGAGGTTGGACGTGGTCCATTGTTCATTCTCTCACTTACTGAGGCTTCCCGAGCCTCGGTTTCCGCACAGGTAAAATGAGGATGAATAAATATCCCCGCCGCACCAGTCTGTTTGAGAATTGGAGGAATAGAGTTGTAATGGTTCGCAGGAAGGTAGTAAGATAAGTCACCTGCAGGAGAGGGTGAATGGAGTGGGGGAAGGAGTGGGAGTGGAGCTTTTAGAGCATACCCTTTTTTTTTTAACTACATAAACATACTACTTTTTCAAAACAGAAACACAATGTAAACAAAGGTTTATCAGATTCCTAATTTCCTGTCTATTCAGATGTGTTTTAGAGAGAAGTAGGGAGCCACTCTTTTCGCCAGACAGCCAGTACTTCTTCCTGCAACAGCACCAGCAGGTGGTTCGTGGACAGAATCACATACACTCTCCCCATGAATGTTGGGCGTCCTATGTTGCTGAAAGGGAGTGGGGACCGGAGACTGGCTACCTCCTGTCTGTGAGAATCTTAGAAGTCCATAAGCCCAGATGGCCTGCCACTTCAAGACAGCTGGACAGTAGGGAACTGTTTCAGCCTCATGACAAAAATGGTCCGCCTAGGTGGCAGTGAGGACTCTGCTCCGACGGTGAAGAGCTCTGGATCCTGGTTCCAGCATCATTGTGTAATTCCAGCGGGTTCCTTCCCCCCTCCGTGTCTTCTGTTGAATGCAGGAACACAGCCGCCTGGTCTCTGAGATGCCCCCAGCTCTGACATGCTGGGACACAAGGCTGATTTCTAACAACAGAGGTTACCATGATGTGATATCTGGAGAGGACTTGCTAGTGGCATTTTTACATCTAAGGCAAGAGCAGGGCCATGAATTCCACGATTATATTTTCACCTTTTATTTCCCTTGATATTAAAGTAGTTCTCTGAGAATGCTGAGTCGAGTCAAGTGTGTATTCCAGGAAAAGGAAACTGAGGCTCGTTTCAGTCGCACCACTGGTGTGGTCCCAATGCTGCCTGCTGTCGGTGCCAGGCTGAGGGCACATCAATGCTATATTATGACTATGTGGCACTGTATGTGGCTATCAGTGAGTAGGGTCTCGCAGGTCAGATCGTTCAAATTCTAACAAGACTCAAACAGGAGCTGTGGTGCCAAGGAACTCACCTCCTCCTGCAGTGCATTGTGCCATTTTTATATTGCTCAAATCATTAGGGAACCGTCCCTTAGCTGGAGCTGAAATCTTGACTTCATATACCTGCCAGTCCTAGCTTTGCTCTCTGGGCTGCAAACTACACCTGTGTTCTCTCTGGCCAAGTCTGCAAACTGCTGAAATGTGGGTCAGTGATGGACCATGTCTTGTTCACTCTTTAAAAATATCTCAATTAGTTTCCAACATTAAAACATCATACAACTTTTTACATAATCTATTTCTGGCTTCTCTTGAAAGATCAAAAGATCTGTGTAGTTGCCACCCCCATATGACCCTTCTCTGTTTTGTAATGATTCCAAGTGTTAGACCAGTCCCCACCCTGCTGGCTTAGCCTGTGTGCTTTTGGGAGAGGCTGGTCCCACCC